ATCTCCTCACCAGCAGCTGATGGCCTTCATAGGGCCCTAGCCAAGCTTTGTTCTTCTTCCTCAGTGACCACTGAGTGCTTTTCCATGTCACTGCAAGGCCCTGAAGAGTCCAAAATCCATCTGCACATGACAGGAGCTGGGAGAAGTTTCCCCTATGTGCTAATCTGGAACTAGTTTGACAGTTGCCTTACAAAAGGGTTATTCTAAAAATCTCAGTAGGAAGCAAGTCCTAGATAAGTGCAAAAGGGCACTAGGATAGTGTGATTGTGTGTGCCCTACTAAACTCCACTGTGTGAATGGCGTGGCACCCGCAGACACCAGATCAAAGATTAAACACCCGTTCGAAGAGGATTAGCAGGAAAACAAATGTCAGGCAGCCATATTGGTTTGTAATGTGACAGTCAATATGAGAAGCTCAGACTCAAGTCTTATCACAAAATAAGGCTTCACATCTAATTATGGTGTATTACAGCAAAATTACTGCAATGTTAAATATTATAGAGAAATGAACACATTTACAAACTGTTTGGATATAGTGCATAAACCTTCCCAGAGGCAATTCTGTTTGGCACATAAGGATATCCATCTATGGCCTGAATTGCATGATGAACTTGCTCAGGATAAAGACGATGAGAGGGATATATGCCTTCAATACATTTCAGTGTAGCTTTGAGAATTTAGACAGTATTTATAAACTGTTTAAACTTCTAGTTACTTCTAATTTAGCTGTAGCAGTGGATGACATGACAATCAGTGAAGACCCTGACTCAAACAATGAACAGAAAAACTTTGTGACGATAATCCTTTAATAATTCAATTCAAATAACCAAGCCTAATATCAAGTGGTGCAGTAAAGTAAAACTTTTTCAAACCTGATTGGAACCTAATATCACTCTATTTTTTAATTGGACTCTAATAAGCTCTAGCCCTCAATTGTCTGATGCTTTAATGTGTGAAGAAATTCTCCACAGTTGAAAAAAAAGACTTCCGTTAAACTCTTTTCTGTTCTCCATAATTAACTAGTTCACTAAGCTACTGTCATGTATATTCAGATTCTGCCGGGGACTGTGGCATATCTCAAACACTAATGGATTTTGTGTTAATCAGTCAAAATCTTCAACGTCACTCTGACTTCCTGTTTCAAAAGGAAATATGTCAACATATGGAATTAAGTAACAGCTCTCAAGCCACCTCAGTAGCTTGCAAACATGCTCATATTATAGCTTTGGGTAATTATTTGTTTTCAGGAAGCAACTAACTGCATTTTGGTTCAAGGTTAAACTAAAGGGCGATGTCTTTATGTCCTTACCTCCATCCTTCCTTGCTGTGGAAAGCTTGGGTGACATCTGCACACATTATTTGTGTTGAAATCTAATTGGCCTTAAGAGAGGTTATTTGGTTAATCCTATTAACCAATGAAACTTGCACTGGAAACGTGAGCAATTACAAGAACTGTTGTTGATGCGGATATCGTAGGCTTGGAGGTTTATTTATACTTTCTATCCTCTGGGAAGATATGAAGAGGGATTAGCCTTCATTCTCAGTGTCCTCACTCATCCCAGTCAGGGGAATGAAAGGGGAATGGGCCAGTTGGCCTTTGGGTCAGATGTCCCAACATGGTCATGGACCAGGCATGAGCATAAGTCTGAGGCCTTTCCTTTCACTCTTGTGGAGGGAGGGAATCCTTACTAGCTGTATGGGATAAAAATAGTTTTAGCCTTATGATAAGCCTGTCCTTGGAGCTTTCTTGGTTTAACAGATAGAAAGATTACAGTTAACATGCATTTGTTGGGTTTGATCAAAGTCACAGTAATGGTGTCATCAGTTTAAGGAGGTGGTATTCTGCCAAAGGATTTGGCAAGCTACAGTGTAATCCCTTGATATATCAGACTACAGTATGACAGGGCCTCAGTTTAGCTGTGGGCTTCAGTAATATTGCAGATTTATCCTAATCTAAGACTGTCCTAACCTTAACCAACCAGACTAACCCATTAGTAACACAAGACAAAGATTATTTTAGATCAACATTGTTCTTCCAACTTCTTCCATCACCCAGCCTGGGACAAATCTTTTGCAGCCTACCCCACTGCACCATATGAGAGTGGCTTATGTTTCATGGGTTAATCTTACTCACAAAGTGGCTCTTTCAAACCTGGTGCTCTAGGTGGATTTAGCTCATGTGCCTATATACCCAGGGGTCTGAGAAGGAGTGAGTGGCTTGTGTTTCTTTTTTTCCGCACCTGGCCAGACATGGGGTGTGCGAGTAGGGGGAAGGGAGAGACGACAGCAGGTGTTTGAGTATGCAATGTGTCAGTTGAGAGATCACTCACAATGCAGACAGGACACGGTGCCAGCAGGTTTGCTCACTATTTACAGAGTTTCCTTTGTTAGTAAAATGTCAGACATACAGTGATGCATTTGTCTGTGAATATTATTATACTTAAATGCCATTTTAAATAAGTTGCTAGTCCTATCCTGCCTTGCTAGGGATACATGAAAGCACTCATGCATCACCTCATCGAGGTCAATGTGTTTTGATTTGAACTCGATGATAGAAGGCCGTCTGTAATTGCTAAGTGACCAGACACAAGCCTGATCTTGTTTATGTGAAGCCATGTTTTGCCTTGGCTGGTTGGTGTCTGTCCAGAGTATTGGGTTACTGTGAGGGGAATGGAGACGGGTGGATATTGTGCCTAATACTTGGAACAACTCCCAAAAACCACTTGATTCCCAAAAATCAGTTGTATATAGCAAGTGGGGCATTTTAGGTATGCCATCTTGGTTCTGTCATGACCTGCTGCGGGTTAAAGTACGGCAGTTCTTCCACTCAAGTGGGATCTAAAGAGACTTGGCAGGAAAAAAATAGGCTATACAAATGTCCATCATGAAGATCCTCATTGTTTATCGGAACAACTGAGGTGGAGGATGACAGGAATTTCAATGTGACTCAAACATGGAAGCCCAGACCTAACAGTCTCCTACTAACCTCCCTGCTCTGGACAAGACTATTGTGGGACAGACATGTCCACCATAAACACAGCAGAAATCAGTGTTTTATCCTCTAGTTCAGGCATAATTAACTAATTACAATTTTTTATTTATTTATTTATTTTTTTACAATTTTCATATTAACACACATTATATTCTGTATTATATTAATAATATCAATCCAGACGATATCTTCTGGGAAAAATTTTATTCTACACACTTCTCTGTCAATTTTCTGGGCTCCCCATTCAGATTAATTTTAAAAACGAATAATAAAAGAGGACTAATATGACGATATATGAATGAGAAGATTGCAAGCTTTGAAATAAACAAGTAATAGGAGTCTACTATATTGACAATATATTATTTGCATGAATTGTCATATTTGTAATTATCACATTAATTACTACAAATTTGGTTTAATTCAGTAATATGGTTTCCATTATCATTATTCAGCAGCCATCCTATTATTTTGGATTTTTTTGCACAGAACTTAATGTAGCCACGAGATACTAAATCAAAGTCACAAATTTGTAATGTGTGCAGAATGTAGGTTATTTCATTGTGCTTTTAATTCACTATTTTGAGTTGAAATAATAAAATAATGCCAATGTTTTGTTAATTCGATGCACTCTCCTTTAGAGAAAACATGCCCACTGTTTGAAGGAAAAGCTGACCAAGCACTCATCTGTTATGCTTACTCCTTGTTACTACTCGTTCGACACAATATCATGCAAGAAAAGAGGGCTTAGGTTCAAGGTCAGAATTGTGATTAGCAACCTTAAAAGAGTACACTACCTTACTTGTTATAAGTCTTATAATCCAAGTGTCTCATGATTATGAATCACTGGAAGAACTGGCTTATGTGTACACATTTACTGTATAGTAATTGCCTCATCATTTAGTGATTTCTAATGGCATGACTAAAGGACACTGAGAAGGCCCATGCTGTATATGAGTGAACACACTCTATAAGGCTCTGTTTGCTGAGGTGTTCTTTATTTGTTAGTTCTGAGAAGGTTGTGTCCTCTTCTTGGGCTTTTCTGCCCTCCCTCACCACTTCATTTCTTCTTCTTCTCCTTCTTTGGCCTAAGGCTGTCATAAAATTGCCAGTACAGAGCACTCACAATGCCTTCATCACAACCAGGGGATCATTACAGTCACAGGACATTGACTGTCTCTTTTCCATCTATTATCACATGACCAAATGCAGCTCAGTGGTTTTAGGGATGACGAATCACTTTTTATGCACTTTTTTTTTTAAAGTTCCTTATTTATATGTTTACAACATCTGCTTGTGGTTAAATAACTTGTTGCTGTGTGGATAAGAATTCATTCTGTCTCTTGAGTATGATGATATAATGAGGCTATTTTTGCAGCAGTGTGTACATTTGCTTCTCCTGAAGTAAGCACGAGTGCTTTTAAGGGATCTTCTTTGATTCACATTAAAATAAAACGGTCCACTGTTGAGTGATGTACTTTCCTTAACACCATACTGTCCTCAAAGCCTTTGGCAAACACATGAGTGAGATTAATGAACTGACTACAATGAGCTGGTTGGCTGATTCACAGACCCAACACATCACTGAGGGAACACTGCACAATAAACACAACAGGGCATCTAATACAGGCTTGAAAGCAGACCATATCTGCTTTCTTTTATACTGTATCATGCACATTCCACATGGCACTTTTGAAGGGTAAAAAGTTTAAAGGGTAAAGTTTTGCTGTAATGCTTCTGCCTCTGTCCTTTGAATCAGCTTGCTCTGTTTATTTGTGCGTGATGTCACTGCCCTCAAATTCCTCAGTCTCCAAAGAAATTGGAACATGTTGAACCTGCGTCTGTGCTCAGAGGGCTGTAATAAGTCATTTCAGACTCTGATTGGTCGAACCAGGGTGGCTGTGGTATTCAGACAGGAAATACCTAGAGACCATGACAAAACTGCTGCACCAACACAACCAAACTATATATATATATAGCTAGATAGCTAGATAGCTAGCTGCAGTTTGGGTCCCTGGAGAAATAGTGGTTAGACCACGGCACTCTCACTGGCGCGGCCCAGGTTCAATTCCTGGCCAGGAAACCAACCCTAGCCACTGGGGTTACACACGACAGTGCACTCCCAGTGCTGGTCCCAAGCCCGGATAAAATTAAGGAGGGTTGCATCAGGAAGGGCATCCAGCATTAAAAACGGTGACAAATCAAATTTACATTACATTTACGGCATTTGGCAGATGCCCTTATCCAGAGTGACTTACAATTATCTCATTTATACAGCTGAGGGTTAAGGGCCTTGCTCAAGGGCCCAGCAGTGGCAGCTTGGTGGTGCTGGGATTTGAACTCTCAACCTTCCAATCAGAAGTCCAACAGCGTAACCACTGAGCTACCACTTCCCAAATATGCAGACCAATGATCCACTGGGGTGACACCTAACGGGAGCAGCCGAAAGAGGAACAACATCTATAACTGCAGTTTAATTATTAATATTTAAACACTACAAACACTCTCCACCTTTTTCCACCTGATAAGATCTGTGTGTGTCTGACAGTAAAATTACTGGCAGTGGAACATGACAAGAGCAATGGAAAAGAGGATTAGAATGGTAAAACATAATGTTCCTGCAACACTTTGAGTGTTGTCATTTGTTTTTTGTACATATTTCTAGAACTTCATGTGTGCTTGATTGCTGAAGGTTTAAAAAGCTATACTAATATAGATGAGCATAGATAGGGTTAGGGTTACTGCAGAAGTGATGCGGTTCATTTTATTGGTTTAAAATGTGCTGTTCTTACATTTGACCTACTCCAAAGGCGCAGGCGGATTAACCAGAGACCTACCTTCTGCAATAGGTGTAGCAAATTATGATTACTGCATTATAGTTTAGCTGCTTTGCTAATTCCCTGTGGAATTTCTGTGGCTGTGTAAGGGGGGAACTGAGGTAAGCATAACGCTAATCTTGATTTGTATATAGGGTTACATGACCTGACCTACTTTCAAATGGAGGAAAGAAAATTTAGAGTCTCTTCTCTCCCCTGTTTATGAGCTCATGTATAGGGAAAAGTACAGTTAGCACTCTCCTCCAAGCATGTTTTAGCCTTTAAATTCCCCAATTGGTAGCTGTCATGTGATAGCTAATTTAGAATTAAAACTAACTAAAACTTTTTTTCTGTAAAAAGAAAAAGGTAACTCTATTATAGAAGCTACAGACAGGTGAATTATTACTACAGTAGCAGTACTTTTACTCACATCAGTGTGTTTCATAGTCTTTCTACCACTGTCAATATCATTTAGCACTAACTGGGCCTCTAGATAGGGTGCAATGGGTTCACAATCATCTGTCCACACAAGCAAGTCAGCTCCCCGCTTAGACAACACATGAAATCAGATCCTCGGCTCGATATAGAAACCTTTGCCAGACGTGAATGTTGGGTAGCAAGTGAGGCTTGATGGACTTTGCTGTAAATAGATAATGTGAACTTGGCTAGGAGAGCTCAAAGTGGCAGTGGAGGATTCCTCACACATGCCGAAGTGATCACATCTGAAAATTATAATTAAAAAAAAAGAAAGAAAGATAAAAACAAAACATCTGGGAGGGCTTCTTCATATTTCTCCAAATGGTTTATAGACAACTATATATATAGAGGATGTTGCTAGGTGATGTGGGTGCTAAAAGACATGCAGCTTAACAGCCAGGTACATGGCAATAAATGGCATTAAAATTGTAAACTCTGTTACAAAGTGCGTGTAAGGAGTAACCCCATTTTAGGAAAACTCTACTGTTGTTACTTTACTTGTGAAATGCATTGGGTAAAATTCTGAATGCGGTACCATCATAATTTATTTTGGGGAGACATTTTACAGGATCTTGTGCCTATTTTTATGATCATGGTGGTCTCCTACACATATACCAAGTTCAAAATAAAACGCTGGAGTAGTCTTAGACTGCAACAAAAAACATCATCTGATAAAAATAAAATAAAAATGCATGTGAAGTGTTTTGTGAGTGTCATCTTTGCCTGATCAAAAAATCTAAAAAAAAAAAAAAAAAAAAACTTCCTCCAGTGCCAAAGGCAACATAATCCACTTACTGTGTTCATTAGTTATACTGTAATCTGAGTGTGCAGACAGCTAACATGGGGAAGGTCAAGACACAACACTGCCTACCTCTTTCTAAGAGCTTCCTCTCCTGGTTGTAAATACTAAATGAGTAAGTTTGTTAGTTTTATACTTTGACAAATTGTCAGATAAAGAAGGTACCAAGCAATGTAAGATGGACTAAGGCCAGAGATGCTGACTTGGAACAAGTACTTTGTTTACATTAGGGGTGTAACGCAATGACGCTACCTGTATCTGTTTCTGTTTTGTTCTTCAAATACCTGTATCTGTATTTGTATTCGGATTTAAACGCAAAGTGGGCGTGACCTAAACCTGAAGGTTTTTTTTCTGGATTAAAATATGAAACCTACCACTATGCCCCCAGAAACTTTCGAAAACAATGGCAAAAATCCCAGAGATAAAAATGCCAGCACCACCAGCATGGTCTTTGACTTCTAGCTCAGACATTTTCACAACTTCGCTCAAGTTCATAACTGGTCTCAGTTACAGATGTGCGTGGGACTATTTTTTTAAACCATGTTTCAGGCAGTTATTATTTTGCCCATGATATTTAGACTTTGATTATTTCCCCCAAAATATAAAGAAACTAGTAGCCTAATTTAAGTCACTGCTACCCTGAACAGGCAGGTACTAAGGATGCTGTAAATGCATTGCAGAGTGTGGGACATTCATGTTGAACGTAGTCTTTGTTTGTCCTGCGAACTTCATATCTGATCTCTCACTAGTGCCTGCTTGAGAGTAAAAAACTCCTGCCCGTGCCACTTTTTTGTTGCAGCCCACAGGATCACAGTCTCGAATATATATATACAGAATATGAATAGATATCTTTTAAGGAAAGTTTGCCAGAAAGGTTCGGGTAGTTCGGGCTGCAAGGCAAATCCCAGGTTTATATTAATGCACTCATTCTAACACGTTATCATTTCTATGGCAACAGCTTTTGCATTTAAAACGTGTGTAATTGTTGATATAGCAATGTTTTCTGTGCAGAAATGTTTATTTGGCACATTTGGATTGAGTCTCCAGTGTCAGTGCTTTGTAACAGTCAGAGTTCCCTCTTCAGGACGGAGGGCTTTGTACTTTCTGGGTGACATGACATGTCTTATTAACTTTAAGAGAGAGAAAAAATGAGAGGCTGGTGAATTTATAGCTTGTAGCTGTTTATAGCTGCTGAAACATAAGTGATAGAAAGAATTAACTTGTTTTGTGGATGTTTGTGGACCCCAACATTAACTATAACTATAAATGGATAAAATGTACAGTGTATTGTTTTTTAATAAATGTAAAAAATTGTAATCATTGGTAAACTGCTGTGATATGAGTATGTTTGAGATGTGTTTTTATTGGAAAATAACAATCCATCAAGGATGATAAAAATAATAATTTAACACATTATCCCATGGTTTAATGCAGCAGCTGCATTAACCAGTCATATCATATGATGTCCAAATAATCAACGTCCCTAACCTCTTTACAGTGAATTGACTATTTGTCAATAATTTTGTTACATATGGAAACTATCCCACTTAAATAAAGAATAACTTCATATAAACCTTTCCATCCTTTTCCCCTTCCCCTCCAAAGGCATCCCCATCCAGACACATGTGGGGCCTCGGACAGGGACATTGTCTGTCTGTTCGGTACACTGTGTGCTCACTGTGAAACTTTAGCTCCTGAAAGAAACAGGTATTCAAGTGTAAATATTAAACATAGGCAGGGAAACTTTGTGTACTACATTGTGTAGCAGTATGTTGGGGTTGAAGAGTAATATCTAAGAGTGTAATAGGAGGAAAAGGAAAGAAAAAGTATTTGTGTATAAGAGTGTGCTGTGTGCTTAGTAAAGCCTGAGAGGTTGGGTTACATAATTGCCAGAATAACAATCACATCTTGTCAACAGGGGGTACACAGTGGAAAGTACTTTATAACAACAGTGTATCTGCTTGGGATTCAGCGGCACCTTGCTGGGTGATAAGTATGTTTAGCTAATATCTGTGTTTTAAAAGCTTGATCTCAGAAAAATACAAAAAAATCTGGTATCATATTTAACCCTCTATAGAGCTTAGATAGCACAAGGAAAAGCTGTTTTATTTCAAGAAATAAAATTGGTCACTGTAAATAAAATTGTTTAACAAGTACAGTTACATTCTTTGTCATGTGAAAAAGTGAAAAAAAAAGAGAAGCATGTCACATAGTCCTTAAATAAAGGAAAATATGTACAGTGCATAGATCCATTTTCAAAAATAAATTATTTGATAATCAAGCATTACTAAAGATTTTGTCTGTTTTTTTTATTAAAATATGTAGAAATAATTCTACTCAGTACGTTCTGCTTTCTAAAATGTACATTTGCTTTTTTTTATTTTATTTTATTTTATTTTTATCTGATTTAGTTTACTTCAGCAGCCAGTTACGTCTGTACACAAGTTAATTCATGTGTTGTTTTGAATGTTAGAGTACCCAGGTTCTTATTTGATCCAGAATGAACTAATAACTAAATTTGATCTGGTGCCCTGTGTAGAGTACTCAGGGTTTGCTGAAATTTCGAAAAGGCTCCCTTTTACTTGATGCCCTTTACACATTTCTGCAGCACACACAGCCATGAATTGCCTTTGAACTGAGCTCAAGGTGGAGTTGGACATGGTTCAAGCACAACACAGAGACATGTCAGGAAACAATAGAAGTGGTCAGATTACACAGACCAAACTCCAGGAAAGGATTAGTTTTGATTGGCAATGCTGTGTAATAATACAAGAACAAAAACACAACTACAGTTTAAAACCTGGACTTGTAATAGGGCCTCGGATCTAACAGCAAAGGACAAGTCTGAGGTACTGACTTGTGTCAGGTGGTGTGACTGAGATAATAAGACTAACACAGTTAAGTGCAAAAGTTCGTATACCCATAGGATAGAATAAAGAAGACAGAAATGTATGGTAATTTATAGTAATGAGACATTTAGTGTGATTGTTT